GGTGTTCTGAAAGATCAACAAACTTTCGTACAAATATCGAGCTATTTAAAAATTCTAAATAATCAATCCTAATTTTTGCCATTTGAAACTTGTACTTTATTCTAACTACACACTTTTACGAAAATTTGTTGATTTTTTTTTAATTGTATAAATTTCTAAGACAGTGACACTTGATTGGTACATTTGTACAGATTTGTTCATTTTTATATTGCTCTATTGGTACAAAATAAAAAAGCTTGGGGAATTTTTTTTTTGTCAAAAGGTTGGTACAATACAGTGATGTTCTATTGAAAAATTTCAACGAATTAATTTTCGTGATTGGGATAAAGAAAAATATATGGGTATTCACACTAGAGCTGGAGAAACATCGATGCCTCGATGTTTTTATTTAATCTACTAACATCAATATTTTTTTCTCAACATCGATGTTTTTGCGAGTTTGCAAAAATCCCCTCACATGACAAAACAGTTTAAGCTTAAAAAATCTACATAAAAATATTAAAAAAATGTATTATCGGAATCATAATAATAAGATTTTTGATGCTATTTTTTAACCTTTTTCAGAGATTTGTGTAAAAAAAACTTGAATAACTGCTGCAAAACTTTACCGAAATAGACTTGTGATGTATAAGTGGAAAGGTATTTTCTCACCCTTTTTATTTATTTGCAAAAAAACTCATTCACGACCCAATTTTTTCCTTATCAAATACCATTACTTCTTAAATCAACATGGAATGACACTCGTTTATTTGACCTTCCTCTTTCATATTTTGAATGAGCTTATTCGCAAAGAAATTGAAAGCGTGAAAAAATGCCTTACTAATGATACCTCATAAGTCAGTAAGTTGGTATGGTTTTGACTGAGTTATTCAAGATTTTCTTAAACCAGTCTTTGAAAAAAGTTCAAAAACAGCATTATTATGTTTCTGTAAAATTTTTTTTTTAAATATTCTTATGCAAACTTTTTAAGCTTAAACTGTTTAGTCATCTGAGGTAATTTTTTCAAAAAATATTTAAAAAAAAACTGTTTTTATTAGTAAAAAACTCAATTTTTGGAGGTATTTTCAAATCCGTCCACCTAACGTAAATCTTAGTATTTTTGCGAGATATTTTGGTGGAAATATAATAGATTTTATAATTCCAGTGAAAGTACCGATTTTTTTTTTGTATGGGGAGTGATGCAGTCTACTATACTTAAGTTGACTATTACCTTGTTTATACCTACGCAAGAACCGCATTAACAAAAAGCTAATTTGACTCAACACATATTCCTTTCAAGTATTTACACCTGTGTCGTTAAGACGCACTCGCTGAAACCGTATTGAAAAGTAAACAAAATTTGTTATTTTTATTCGGTATTTCTTAAATAATTAATTTGCGAGGTGGACCGAAATGGAAGCGAACAACAATTAAAATTTGTTATAATAATAATCCAAATTTAAAACGGGATATATAAAGAAAACCAGCCTTTTTTCACTTTGCGTCAAATAAGTGATGTGTTTATACCTGTTTTCTAACCGATGTGAGAAATAAAAAAGCGATTTGAAAGCAAATTCGAGTCAATACACTTTTGAATTACTGAACGTATTGAAAGTTGGTTTATGCTTCCGTTTTGAATCACAGCGAACTGGGTCAAAGCGCTTCATGTGTTGGTATAAACAAGGTATATGATTACTCGGCCGTGCTATCCTGTACTACGTTTATACGCACAGAATAATCGACTTAATTGAAAGCGCATTGACACCGTACACATTTCGCTCTAGTGTTTATACTTACGGCTTTATATCGGCATCAAAGTAACCGTCTTCAAAAGCAAACAAAATTATCTGTTTTCATTTGACATTTTATAAGTTAACATATACTACGTTTATACGCATGCATAAGTCGCTTTAATTCATTTCGCCGCGATTCAAAACATATGTATAAACTGAATTTCAAATCGCTTTGAAAGAGCGAAGTGTTTTGGCTCACACTCCATTTCAAATCGGTAGTTTAATTCTCCAGACAGTTAGAAAGAGTGTATAAACACCGCTCTCACTCAAAGCGAATTGGAGATCAGCTGTTCCGCTCAAATTCCAAATAATCGCATCAGTAATTAAAAGCTGATTAATAATAATCGTTCTTTTTCTTTTCCACGATTTTATAATG